TCCACTACTACCCTAGGTAATCTTTAGTAACTTGCCCCTCGAAGCAGCGAAGCAGCATTAGCAGTGCCCAGGAATTTTACCTGGGGTGTATTCCCCAGAGCAGAATTTTAGGTTGTTGTATGCAATTACCTTCAAATATATCAGTTGCTGCCAAATGGTTCTTCCCAATGGTTGCATCCATTTACATCCCTCCCACTGTGTTAACAATTCTGTTTCTTATTGTTTCATATTCTTCTAATGCTATTATCATACTTAACCATTTTTCTTACCAGTTTTTGATGAATGAGAAATGGTATTTTGTTCCACTCTGTACATCTGATTACTTGTAAAATGGATTACCTTTATAGAAGTTATTTGTTGGACGTTTGAATTTCCTCTTCAGTGAATCTCGTGTTTTGTTCATTTTTTTTCTTATGGGTTGTTTTTTCTTACAGGTTTCTGGAAGTTATTCAAACTTTCTGGAGAGTGATTCTTTATTATTACAAGCATTGCCAATATATTTTTTCAGTGTATGACTTGACTTTTTCATTTTAAAATGGTATCTGATATATAAAAATGTTAAATTTTAATGTAGTTGAATGTATTCATCTCCACTTTTGTAATTTGTGTGTGTGTGTGTGTGTGTGTGTGTGTGTGTGTTTTACATATTGTCAGGAAAATCTTTATTACCTTCAAACCATAAAGCAGTTCTCTTGGATTGTCATCATTGAGCCCTTAGACTACCTGGAATAGATTTTTCTGTATGATGTAAAGCAAGGACAGCAGTCTAACAAGCTATCTCCGCAGCCACATTCGTACATAGTCCATTGTTTTCTCAATAATCTGTGGTGCCTCTTCTGTTACCTGCCACAGTTTCATGTATGGATGTGACTGTCTCAAGGGTCTCTATTCTGTTCTATTGACCTTTCTTTAGCCGTGTGCCAATACCATACCGCCTTCATCACTATTGCTATACACAAACATATTTAACATTTGGTAGAATGAGTTTCTGTATTCATCTTCATTCTTCTCTTTTAAAATGGGCTTTTTTTTTTTTTTTTGCGATAGAGTTTTGCTCTGTCACCTAGGCTGGAGTGCAGTGGCACAACATCGGCTCACTGTAACTTACACCTCCTCGGTTCAAGTGATTCTCCTGCCTTAGTCTTCTGAGTAGATGAGGTTACAGGCACCTGCCACCATGCTTGGCTAATTTATATATTTTTAGTAGAGATGGAGTTTTGCCACTTTGGCCAGGTTGGTCTTGAGCTCCTGACCTAAGATGATCCACCTGCATCGGCCTCCCAAAGTGCTGGGATTACAGGCGTGAGCCACCACTCCTGGCCCTAAAATGGACTATTGTTGGGGCTTTGCTTTCCCTTATAGATTTTATCACCTGATTTTGAAGATTCATGAAAAACTGGGTAGACATTTTCATTGAAATTACATTTAAATTTTAATTTGCAGTTTGACGTTTTTGCAATTTTTTCATCTATGAACATGGTATATTGCTTTTCTTATGAAACTTATTTATTGATGCCCTTCAATAAACGACTTATCTAAAGTACTTGCGTATCTTTTGTTAGACTACTAGGTAACCTTGTATTTTTTGTTGCTGCCAGTTTTTGTTGTTCTCAACCAAGAACTCTGGCATATGCATTCATATTTATGCTCCCATTTAAAATATACTAGGTGCTAAGGCAGCTGTATAAAACTCAGTTCTTATATTTTGATATAATTCTCGCTGAAGAGCAAAGACGGAACAACAGGACCACATGGCCATTCTAGGATGAAGTGCCAATCATCATCAGAGTTAGTTGATACTAGGTAGTGCAGAAGAGAGAAAAGGCCGGAGACAGGCTGCTTCAGTTGGAGAAGGACTCATCGAAGGGGTAGGCCTTGAAGGTTGAGTAGCATTTTGATAAAGAAATGGAATGTATACATTGAAAGGAAGCTTATGAACATAAACTTGTACATGGTTAGGTGACAGAGGGTTGAAGATAGTGAGAAGATGTGACCAGACTGTGGGTGACATTGAACGCTAGGAGGAGTTTGCATCTTATCTTTTACTCCCTAGGAAGCTTTCCAAAGTTGGATGATATGTTGAAACTTACGTCTGACCTTTGTAGAAAGAGGCAAGTTAGGAGAAGTAGTGTTATCTTGTGATAAATCTTTTAAATTCGTTTTGATTCAGAGCTGGATGTGAACTGAGGCAAAGCAGTTGTTCTATATGAAATCAAATGCATCCAAGACAAGTTTTAGAGTTAGGATTTAGAAAAGGCATTGCTCTCAAACATTCCGAGAAAAAGCTGGAGTTCTAGGTACTACCAAGGACAGATGGCTTAAGGTCTAGCACACAGTATAACCTCTTTTTTAACCTTCATTTTCTTTCTGTAAAGAAGTATTTTATTACTTGGGCTTTTCAAAATATTCTTCTTGGTGTTTGCTGAGGTCATGTGGTAGAGGCATGGGTTGGGGCTGATTGAGAAATATGAAAGTATTATGGATGTCTGTGACCTTCATGAAAAAGCCCTCATTGTTCTCCATTGCCTGGTAGGTAATTTACTTTCTTCCCCTCAAAATTTCATTTCAATTTCATTGAAAGTTGTGCATGTTCTTTTCTCCATTAAGCATCATCTCGTTTCCTATAAGAGCCAGATGGCGGAAGGAAGGAATGTAGTTCAAAGTGATGGGGGAACTGACAGGTACTGGTGCAGGCATCAACAACCTGAACTAGAGGTGTTGCTGCCAGCTGTCAGAGGAGGCCACAAGGACGTGTGAGTTTCTTTTCTTTTCTTTTTTCTTTAAGCACAGGAGACAGCTTTCTGAAGTAGCCTAAGAGTATGCTTACTGGACCCAACCAGCTCTGTGAAATGCAAAGAGTTGTCGCTTCCTGGGAACGTTAATGTTGCAGGAAGACAGGGAATGTTTCGCTCTCTAAACAAACTAACACTCTGAGACACCATTAACCTTCAGTTCCTTCTCCTCACCCCAAATCCCTGCTCATTCAGCAATCCCATTTCATTCTTTCTTCCTTGGCTTTCATGCTTTGCAGTGTGGAAAAGAATTCACCATTTCACCATAAGAAGAGGATAATGAAAGTGTATTTTGTTATCTGAAGGAGCCCTTTCCTGTGAATAAGCCACTACAAACCACTCAATGTACTCTGGGTGTCACATTTCTAGGCAGAGGGTGGCTTGTCCCAAAAGGGAATTTGTTCTGAGACCATATAAGATAACTTGGAAGGCCGGGCGCGGTGGCTCAAGCCTGTAATCCCAGCACTTTGGGAGGCCGAGGCAGGTGGATCACGAGGTCAATAGATCGAGACCATCCTGGTCAACATGGTGAAACCCCGTCTCTATTAAAAATGCAAAAAAAATTAGCTGGGCACGGTGGCGTGTGCCTGTAATCCCAGCTACTCAGGAGGCTGAGGCAGGAGAATTGCCTGAACCCAGGAGGCGGAGGTTGCGGTGAGCTGAGGTCCCGCCATTGCACTCCAGCCTGGGTAACAAGAGCGAAACTCCGTCTCAAAAAACAAACAAACAAACAAAAAGATACCTTGGAAATAACAGCTCCAAATAACTTTGCCAGTTATTAAGCTGTTGTTTTTCAACTTTAAACCCTCCCTCGTATATCCTGTTCTATGACTCTGGGGGCCGCTTGGGCAAACAGTTAATTCTGTCTCAGCCCTGCCAGCGGCTGTCAATAGAAGGTGCTAGACTGAAACTGCAAGGTTGGAGGAAAGAGCAGTGCCTTCCTGTGTCACCTGAGCAATGTTTGTTCTCTGAGGAAGCCTCGTTTAGTTCTCGTAGCAGCAGGTGGTTCTGGTTTGCAGTGTATTCAGCACTCACAGAACCAGCATGATCACGTTCCCTTGGAGACACCAGCACCAGCACCAGCACCAGCACCAGCACCAGCTGCCCAGATGCCTGGCTCCAGCTTGCAGGAGTAACTGTGAGTCTTGAGAACAGCACCCGCTGAGCTCCTTCTCAGTGGCATCTTTTCAGCTCTGCGGGGCTCTCCTCTCCTCTGAGAATGTAAGTTGAATGATTCCAATCTCTTCCCTTTGCTCCAGGAGCTGCTGCCTACAGTTGCTATCTCCTTGATGCCTAACAGTTCTCTTCTTGCCTGTTCAATTACCTTGTTAGAATTTTCTACCTATTTAACAATTCTGTTCTCTCTTAGGAGTCACTGATGTGATTTCTATTGGATCTAACTAGATTAGTGGTTCTCGAAGGCTAACGTGCATCAGAATCACCTTGAGGGCTTGTGAAAACACAGATTGCTAAGCCTGTTCCTGAGTTTCTGATATAGTATGTCTAAATAGGTCCAAGAATTTTCTTTTCTTTTTTTTTTTTTGAGATGAGTTCTCTGCCATCCAGGCTGAAGTGCAGTGGTGTGACCCCGGCTCACTGCAGCCTTGACCCCCTGGGCTCAAGCGATCCTCCCACCTCAGCCTCCTGAGTAGCTGGGACTACAGGTGAGTGCCACCACACATGGCTAATTAAAAAAAATTTGTAGGAATGGGGTCTTGCTATATTGCCCAGGCTGGTCTCAAGCTCCTGGTCTCAAGCAATCCTCCCATCATAGTCTTGCAAAGTGCTGGGATTACAGGTGTGAGCCACTGTGCCAGGCCCCAAAATTTCAATTTCTACCAAGTTCTCAAGTGATACTGATGCTGCTGATCCAGAGGCCCCACGTTGAGAATCATTGCACTGGACAAAGCAGTCTGCTCCTAGAGAAATATTTGTCCTGAAACCACCAAAAGACTCCTTGGAAATAGTAGCCCCAAGTAAAACCAATTGTCTAATGAGTTAATGATGTTTTGAAAATAGAATGAGGTCCAAGGTGCTATCACTTGCCAATGTAGTAAGAAAGGAAATGAAGTGAATGTTGCTGACTTTCCTGCAGTGTGATCATACATAAAGTTTTGAAAAGGTGTGCAAGAGGTGTTCCTGGCATTTTATAAACCCACAGACTTCAGAGAGGGAGTGATTCAAGGAGGTACATCTAAATGGTTCTAGACAAGATTGTATATGAAAGAATCTTAGGTTATTTGGTGGGGAGTTCAGATTCGCCCCTATATATTTCGTCATGCCAACAAATGAAAATAAAAACTCAAAAGCCCACACCTGACCATGTAGAACAGCTCCATGATTGGTTGTTCCTTATACTCTTCCTTAACATGTACAAGGTAGTTTTTTTCCTTCCTTGCATGTTCTGGGAGGGAAATAAGTATCTTAAATCCCCGTCACTGGAATAGAAAACATAATAAACAATAAATGAGGGGCTGCTTTTCCACATATTCCTAGCAATCATGCTCACTTGGCTTTGGTAGATAGGACGTGAGGGGACCAGAGAGAAAATCAGGACACTGGGGTCAGAAATTCCAAGGTCACAAATTGAATGAGGGTCAAGAAGATGGGAATACCAAAGCTCCAAAGCTTATTGAGACATTACTATGGTTGCAAAACAAATTACCCTCCAGTGAGTGGCTAGAACCAAAAACAATGGCACAACTGTTTTGCTTATTAATCTGTAATGTGGGCAGCATTTTGTAGTGACAGCTCACCTCTGCTTCATTCAAGGTCATTTAGAGGGGCTGCATGCTGGAGCTGGAATCATCTGAGGCTCCTTGTTTACATGTCTGGTGGTTGATGCTGGCTGTCAGCTGAGATCTTAGATGGGGCTGTTGGAGGGAACATGGCTATGTAATTCATGTAATATGGCATGAGCTTCCTCACAGCATGGTGGCTGGGTTCCCAAGAGTGAGTAGGAGGAAAAGGTTGGGGGAGGGAGAGAGGAACACCAGGCAGAAGCTGTATCTTTTTAATGACCTAGCAGCCTTGGAAAAACTAGCACCACGTCTGCAATATTGTGTTGATTAGAGCAATCAAAAGCCTCAGCCTAGATTCAAGAGAAGCAAACACACACTCCACTGTTCAGAAGGAAGACTGGCAAAGTTCTGAAGAGTACCAAGGACCAGAAATATTGCTGTGGACATTAAAAAAAATCTGCCATATCCTTTAACTTAATCTGCACCCTTGCTCAAGCCCCTGATACCAGCTTTATGCAAGGCAATTCTATCCTCTTTTTGGGGTCTGATGACTGAATCAGAGGTCGACCCATGACATGGGAAATGGGCTAATTGGATTCTGTCCTGATCAAGAATTTAAATAAAAGAATCAGGATGAGACACCTGTACTTCTGGATCTACTTCTGGAGCCAACACAGCTTGTGGACTTCAGAACTGAAACAGGCCATTCGGTCTGTTTGCATAGAGAAGCAGATACCCACTACTGTACAGAGAAACAAAGGAAGAAAAAGGAAAGGCACTCTGTGTTTGTTCCTGATGGCTTCCCAGCTTCCGCACGATGGCCCACTAGATTTTATCATCTTTCGTTATTTGAGACATTCTTGTATCCAAAATGTGATTCTCACTTTTTGTAAGCAAGCTGTGTGGATTTCTGCAGTCCGGGTAGACTGCAGGGCAAGAGAAGACAGTTCTCTGACAGAGGAGTTCCCCTTCTAACAAGTGAACTGATTTGTACTAGGCTGAACCTGAATCTGTTTTCCATGGTTCCTGCCCTTTGATTTTATGCTCCTTATCAAGGGTGGCCCCACCCACCCCACCCATTATTCTTCAACTGATACTGTAGGCACAAGAAAGTATCTCGTGGAAATAGGCCAGGGTAAATAAATGAGCATTGATTCTGAATCAGCTCAATTTTCAACTTTTATTTATACAAAAGGCAAATAGAGATGTTTTAGAAGAAAAATAAGGTAGAATATTCTGTTCTGGCTTTCGCCAGGCCTGCAGCCAGATGTTCTTGGACACTTTTTACTGACTGGTTCAGGGTGCCCCCATGCCTCAGCTTGTGTGCACTGTGATTCTAGCAGTGTGAACTATTAGCTTTCATCAGAGGACGGCTCTTGGGCTACCAACATTGCTTTGCCCATACAACAAATGGACTTCCAGAAGTACTTGAAAGTTTACATAGCCAATGACTAATGGGCGTGGTTATATGAAGGTCTAGCTCCCTATCTCTAGGTGGGTCAAACCTTCTGGTATAATTTGTGCCTTGGAGTTCCTTGGAGGATGGGCCTGTGGGTGGGAGTTTGCCTGAAATCACCACCTTCTTTGGCTCCTTCTTCCCTGTTCTGGTTTCCTCATTCCTTTACTAGTTTCTTCTGGAAGCTCTTCCTTAATAAACCACATGTACATGAATTCTTGTCTCAGGCTCTGCTTCTGGATAACCCAAACTAAGATATAAAATAAAATGTTATGGTAAGAGAGAAGTGTTAAAACAATCAAGCTTGTGTTCAGATCTCTGCTTAAAGAATTGAATTATACAGTCATGGATCCAGTTTTCTTTTCTAATTTTGCCACCCTATCTAAAAAATAGACGTAGATTTGGCCAGGCGTGGTGGCTCACGCCTGTAATCCCAGCACTTTGGGAGGCTGGGGCGGGTGGATCATGAGGTCAAGAGATTGAGACCATCCTGGTCAACATGGTTGAAACCCCGTCTCTACTAAAAATACAAAAAATTAGCTGGGCATGGTGGTGCGTGCCTGTAGTCCCAGCTACTCAGGAGGCTGAAGCAGGAGGAGAATTGCCTGAACCCAGAAGGCAGAGGTTGCGGTGAGCTGAGATCGCGCCATTGCACTCCAGCCTGGGTAACAAGAGCGAAACTCTGTCTCAAAAAAAGATACAGGTAGAGTCAAGCCTTGTCCATTGTTTTTGAGTTTTATTATTTGCCTACAATTTGGACTAAATCCTGCATTACTTCCTGGCTATAACAAGTCTCTAAAGAAATACCTGGATTTAATTTTCTTTATGGTGCTTTTAGTTGACTTCTCAATGAAAGTTTTTTCTTTTGTTCTGGTATAAATTTTCTTTTTAATTATAATCATTATGTACATGATGTTTCTACTATGACAGGTTACCTGGAAATGAGCTTTCCTGGCAACAAAGAACACCTTGACAATCAAATTTTCATCATCAATGCTTTCAAAAAGAAAGATTTTTGATCAAAAGGGGGACATGAGAAAAGAACCTTTATCTGAGGAATGCGAGTCCTTTTGAGGGGGACAGAGTCTCACTCTGTTTCTTAGGCTAGAGTATAATGGCATGATCTCCACTCACTGCAACCTCTACCTCCCAGGTTCAAGGGATTGTCCTACCTCAGCCTCTCGAGTAGCTGGGACTACAGGTGTGTGCCACCATGCCTGGTTAATTTTTGTATTTTTGGTAGAGATGGGGTTTCACCATATTGGCCAGGCTGGTCTTGAACTCCTGGCCTTGAGTGATCTGCCCACGTTGGCCTCCCAAAGTTCTGGGATTACAGGCATGAGCCACCGGGCCTGGCCTGAGTCCTTTTAAATTATTAGGTTCAAAGAGACACTAAAATGACAGCAAGTATGTCCTACTTGCCCCTTGAGCTTGAAACTGCTTGCTATAAAAGTAGCTATAAATTAACCGAAATTAACCTAACAGTGCTCCACCAGACACTGTAACCCATATCCTATAGCTTAACAATGTACAGCCAATCACTAATCAATATTATTGCTGTGAACCAATAAGAATTCTTGACAATTCTATAATTCATCTCTTGAAACTGCTTGCTAGTGTTACAAGTAGCTATAAATTAACCTAATAGTGCTCCACCAACACTGTAACCCATAACCTATAGCTAGACAATGTACAGCCAATCACTAATCAATATTATTGCTGTATACCCATAAGAATTCTTGACTTCTTGACAAACAGCTTTGTATCAGCACACGTCCTGTACCCCCCCTTTTTTTTTGCCTTTAAAATTCCATTTTTAACTGCTGTTATCAGAGTATATATTCAGGGCAATTTGAATGCGTGTACCTGGGTTGCAATATACAAGCTTGGCCCAAATAAACTCTCTACTTTTATTTTTTTTAAATGGAGGTAATAATTACTACCTTGTGGCCTCATGTAACAGATATAAATTTCATCTCCGTAAATCTATATCTATGTCCCAAGAAGGCTTGAAAGATATCAACTAGAACTGTCTAATAGAACTGTCTGTGATGCCAGGTTCTCTGCCTTACCTGATGTAACCGCTGATCAGATGTGGCTACTGAGCACTTTAAATATGGCTAGTGTGACCAAGGAACTAGATGTTTAATTAGTTTAAATATAAATAGCCACATGTAGTGAATCTATGTCATATTGGACAGTAGAAGGTAGACTAGATGGTAGTAGTATAAGGTTGATTTCCTGATTTTTCATAATTGTGCTGTAGTTATTTAAGCCATGGTTTTATAAATATACACAGAAATATTTAGGAGTACAGAGGAATCATGTCTGCTACCTATTCTCAAATGGTTTCAGGGAAAAACACATATAAAATAGTGTGGTAAAAAAAGTTAACATCTAGGGAATTTGGGTGAAAGGTATACGGGAATTTTACAAGGCTACGGTAATCAAAACAGCATGGTTCTGGTACCAAAACAGAGATATAGACCAATGGAGCAGAACAGAGGCCTTGGAGGCAACACCACTCATCTACAACCATCTGATCTTTGACAAACCTGACAAAAACAAGGAATGGGGAAAGGATTCCTTGTTTAATAAATGATGTTGGGAAAACTGTCTAGCTATGTGCAGAAAGCAGAAACTGGACCTCTTCCTGACACCTTACACTAAAATTAACTCCAGATGGATTAAAGACTTAAACGTAAGACCTACCACCATAAAAACCCTAGAAGAAAATCTAGGCAAAACCATTCAGGACATAGGCATAGGCAAGGACTTCACAAACAAAATACCAAAAGCATTGGCAACAAAAGCCAAAATAGACAAGTGGGACCTAATCAAACTCCACAGCTTTTGCACAGCAAAAGAAACAGTCATTAGAGTGAATCAGCAACCAACAGAATGGGAAAAAATTTTTGCAATCTACTCATCTGACAAAGGGCTGATATCCAGAATCTACAAAGAACTAAAGCAGATTTACAAGAAAAAAACAAGCCCATTCAAAAGTGGGCGAAGGATATGAACAGACACTTTTCAAAAGAAGACATACATGAGGCCAACAAACACATGAAAAAATGCTCATCATCACTGCTCATTAGAGAATTGCAAATCAAAACTACATTGAGATACCATCTCATGCCAGTTAAAATGGTGATCATTAAAAAATCTGGAGACAACAGATGCTGGAGAGGATGTGGAAAAATAGGAACCCTTTTACACTGTTGGTGGGAGTGTAAATTAGTTCAACCATTGCGGAAGACAGTGTGGTGATTCTTCAAGGACCTAGAGATAGAAATTCCATTTGACCCAGCGATCCCATTACTGGGTATATATCCAAAGGATTATAAATCATTCTACTATAAGGACACATGCACACGAATGTTCATTGCAGCACTGTTTACAATAGCAAAGATCTGGAACCAACCCAAATGCCCATTGATGATAGACTGGCCAGGGAAAATGTGGCACATATATACCATAAAATACTATGCAGTCATAAAAAATGATGAGTTCATGTCGTTTGTAGGGACATGGATGAATCTGGAAACCATCATTCTCAGCAAACTGACACAAGAACAGAAAATCAAACACCGCATGTTCTCACTCATAGGTGAGTGTTGAACAATGAGAACACATGGACATAGGGAGGGGAGCATCACACACTGGGGTCTCTCCGGGGCAAATAGGGGAGGGACAGTGGGGGTTGGGGAGTTGGGGAGATATAGCATGGGGAGAAAGGGAGCAAATCACACTGCCATGTGTGTACCTATGCAACAATCTTCCATGTTTGTCACATGTACCACAAAACCTAAAATGCAATTTAAAAAAAGAAAGTAAAAGTGTAAAAATGTTCAATTTTTAATTGTTGTGACAAATTGAAGATAGTATTTACAGTCAATTACTTAAGGGGTAGCCATATATAAATATTATTTAGCAATATGGAGGAAAATACTAGAAGAAAACAAATTAAATTGCCTGAAATATTGAAAATGTCCACATATTCTTCCCATTCCATTCTGAATGCCCTTTTGCAATATAATTTTGAAGGGTAGTCTATTTCCTGATTTTTGCAACTGGGGTTAGTCATGTGAATTGCTTTGGCCCATGGAAAAGTAGCAAATGTGACACAGGTGGTGAATTAAAAAGTGCTTGTGTTTTGGTACTCACCTTTCTAGATGGTCTTGGGCCCTTGGGAACTCTGCAGCCACCACTGTGGGAACAAGCCTTGGCTAGCCTGTTGGAGGATGAGAGATCATGTGAAGAGAGGCCCTGCCTTGTCAGTCATTTTGGCTCTCCTGGCTAAGGCCTCAGATATGATGGTGAGGCCATCTAGCTTGTATATCCATCAGCTAACCTCATATATATGAGTGAGCCCAGCCAAGCCCAGCAGAACTGCCCAGCTGAGCCCAGACCAAATTGCCACCCCACAGTGTCATGGGCTAAACATGTGGTTGTTTTAAGCCACAGTGTTTTACAGTGATTTGTTTCCTAGAAAAAGCTAACTGACACAACAGTATTTTCCTCTAGGGAAAAGGATAAGCTTACCATGGGAAATATAATATGGTTTTGGAAAGCATAGGTTTTTGAGTTATAGCCTATCTTTCTTTTTGTAGTTGTGTGGCCTTAAAGTTCAACTCTTTGCGTCTCAATTTTTATATCTTAAAAGTGGGGGTAATACAGTCTTCTGTGTTTATTATAAAATTAACTCTAAAAAAGATAAGATACTCGGTATAGTACTTGCATGTAATAGATGTTCCATAAATTGCTAGAGACTGGGGGGGTGAGGTCAAGGCTAAATAATAGTGTCAGTTGCAGTAAGAGATGGAGGATGGTGCTGTCAAGTGCACTGCATTTGAAAGTACACTTGGAGAGTTTGATTCTTCTTTCTATTGTCTTCTGGCTGGGGAATTTAGGAAAAAGGACACTTTTATAGACCATATGATATGACTTGGATTTGTATCCCTGCCAAATCTCATGTTGAATTGTAATCCCCAAGGTTGGAGGTGGGTTTTGGTGGGAGGTGATTTGATCACGGGGGTGGATTTCTCATGAATGGTTTAGCACTATCCCCCTTGGTACTGTCTTCTTGGTAGTGAGTGAGTTCTTGCAAGATCCGGTCTTTTGAAAGTCTGTTGCATTTCTCCTCCCTCCCTCCTTCATTCCTTCCTTCTTTTTTTTTTTTTTTTTTTTTTTTAGTTGGGAGTCTCACTCTGTCACCCAGGCAGGAGTACAGTGGTGCTATCTTGGCTCACTGCAATCTCTGACTCCTGGGTTCAAGCAGTTCTTCTGCTTCAGTCTCCTAAATAGCTGGGATTACAGGTGTGCACCACCAGGCCTGACAAATTTTTTAATTTTTAGTAGAGATGGGGTTTCACCATGTTGGCCAGGCTGATCTTGAACCCTTGACCTCAAGTGGTCTGCCCCCCTCGCCCCCTCTGTCTTTCTTGATTCTTATCTGACATGTGATATGCCTGCTCCCTCTTCACCCTCTGCCATGATTGTAAGTTTCTTGAGGCATCCTCAGAAGCTGAGCAGAATGCCAGCATCATGCTTCCTGTATAGCCTCCAGAATCGTGAGCTAATTAAACATCTTTTCTTTATAAATTACCCAGTCTCAGGTATTTTTTCTAGCAATGTGAGAATAGAATAATACACTCTAATTCTATTGTTTATAAACATCCATTACTTTTCTAAGAAGTTCATGAAGACCAGAGCCAGAACTTTGTAGGGTAGAAAGTAAAGATTTAAGATAAGAGCCAGGCAAGTTCAGACACAATCATAGCAATGCAAATTAATGTTAGACAAAGCCACTCACTAGAGAGGTCCAGAGAGGAAGACCATCTCTTGAAGTTCATAGTGGGTTGATTTCTACAAGAAACAGTGCCTTTCAGAGGGATTAGTCATGGCTAGTTAAATGTAAGGTGAGAACGATGGGCCTATAGGTATTAAATCAGGACCCAGACTGAGATGCTCAAAGGTAAGTATATTAAAGTTCTGCTTGTTACTATAGCAAACCCCAAATGCATAATGGCTGAAACATAATAGAAGTATTTTTGTATCTTACTCACCTAAAGTTGTTCTAGTTAGCAAGTGGATCTGCCCACCTGGGATTTTTCCATCTGGTGGTTCTGCCATTTTCAACATGTGGTTTGACTGCATCAAATGGAGAGGAAAAGAACATGGAGAATCACGTGAGAAATTTTATGGCATTCGCCATAAACTGGCACATGTCACTGCTATGCACATATTTCTGGCTAGAGCTCAGTCATATGACTATAATCTTAAAAAAAAAAATCCAGTGTGCTGGCACAGTGGCTCATATCTGTAATCCCAGCACTTTGGAAAGCCGAGGTGGGCAGATCACGAGGTCGAGCACATCCTGGTCAACGTGGTGAAACTCTGTCTCTACTAAAAATACAAAAATTAGCTGGCCCTGCTGGTGCACGCCTGTAGTCCCAGCTACTCAAGGGGCTGAGGCAGGAGAATCACTTGAACCCGGGAGGCAGAGGTTGCAGTGAGCAGAGATAATACCACTGCACTCCAGCCTGGTGACAGAGTGAGACGCTGTCTCAAAAAAAAAAAAAAAAAAAAAAAAAATCCAATGTGATAAAATATACAAAGCAAAAATTTACCATTTAACCGTTTTAAATAATATAATTTAATGGATGCACACATTTATAATGTTGTGCATCTGTTACCACCATCTATCTCCAGAACTCTTTTCATCTTGTATGATTTTTGACTACTCTAAGTATCTCTTATAAGTGGAATCATGCAGTGTTTATCTTTTAGTGACTGGCTTATTTCCCTTAGCAGAATATCCTCAAGCTTCTTACTTATAGTAGCATATTTCACAATTTCCTGCCTTTTAAAGGCTGAATAATACTCTGTTGTGTGTCTATACCATGTTTTGCTTATTCATTTATCCATCAGTGGACACTTGGGTTGTTTTCACATTTTAGCTGTTGTGAATAATGCTGCTATAAATGTCAGTTTGCAAATAAGGATATATAGTCTTACGTGTTCAGAAAGAAGAGAAACCATGTGTTGTGAACTGATATCCCATCTCTGCCATGGAAGTTAACATATATGAGCACACCGGATGGTCAAGCGTATGACAGTGGGGATGGATGGGGACAGTGGAGAAGTGGAGTGCTGCTTCCCCATCTAAAAAGACAGCCATTTCTCAGCTTCAGTTGATTAGTGCCAGGTAGAAATGCCAACCAGAGGTGGCCAGACCTTCCAATTTCTAAAACGAGGTTAGATATCTGAACTGACATATAAAATGTCTTGACTTAATAACATTGGTGAAGAATTTATGAAACAAACAAACAGTGTGGAGAATAATCAACATTCCCTTGCAAGCCTGATGTGGCCTGTGTGTTTTAGGCTGCAACTTACTGTGTCTGTGTTGGACCATGTGCTCAATAGGAAAGACAGATGATTTGCTAGTGACAAACTGGCCTGGGAATGCTCCAGGCAGAAGAGTAAAGGGCAGAAATCAGCTTGGCTCTTAGTAAGGCTTCATTTCACACCAAACAGGAGCTACAAAGAAGTTTGGAAAGACCCTTTGGTCAGAGATTTTCCAGAATGCTTTCAAAAAGCAGCAGCCTTCCATGGCCAAGCGGGGCAGTGGGTGAGGCAGAGAAAGATAGGTAAGAAAGAAGTGACATATGAAATGACCGAGGCCACGGGACATCCGTGTACCTCTGTTCAGCCATGTCATGTCTACCTGCATTGTCCCAGTGGCATTGTGAGAGGTGCCAGGGTGTGTGCTCGGCATCGAGTGATTTCACCGTGAGTCATAGACGCCGCAGGTGTTTACCGCTCTAAGATAGAAGTTCTGTATGTGTCTGTGTGGACACACATTTCCTGTAATGCTGTCAGTGGCTGTCAGCTTTGGGGTTTATACAAAGCTGTGGTCATGTTCCAGTCACACCTTGGATGATTTACAAACACTGCAAACATTGGAACTGAAAGCCTATTATTTTCTTGGTAAACTGACGTTGACCTCAAAGGCAAGCCGACGATGCCTATTCACATTGCTCGTAAGTTCAACAGATTCTGTCTGTCTCATGTTTTCAGTCCATCCTAATCGATCCATGATACACTAATGGGACGCTAGTCTGAGCTAGGCGCTGTGAGGAATGGGAACATCATAGACCTCACCGTCCCTGCTCTTGAGGGCTTTATGATTCTGGAAAGGATGGAAGAAACACGTAGTCCTAGGAAAAGCAAATCTGTATCCAGTACAGGCAAGGCATGTGGAATGAGAAAAGAATGGCGGGAATGGGAAGGGGCCTGAGGCTTGCAGAGGGATTCCGGAAGGCCCAATGGGCTGTGATGTGGAGGAGCTTCCTATAGAGCGCAGGATCCACTTCCGCTCTGTGCGAAGCGATTGTGTGTAGGAATGTGGCAAATATCTTCCTCTTGATTGCCTGACATAAATTACAACTTCAGTGCCTTTTAGAAAACAAAACGAAAAGAAACGAAGGTATTTAGGCAGATGTTAGTGATGTTTTATCAAGGTAACAGCAGTTTTGTGGGATATGATGGTCACAGATGTGGTGTGTTCTGCAGGCTGTGTGGATGAGGGAACCACCGCTCCCACCAAAGGAGTGACCTCCTGGCTTGGAAACTTACCAGTATCCTTTCCTCTGAACATTTCTCCTCAAAAACATCAGCAAAGCCCCCAGAAATCTCTCTGCCTAGAAGGTCTGAGCAAAAATTCTTCTGAGGTTCTCTTCACGATTTATGTTAAAATAAAAAAATGTGTTCTTCATCCCTGATTAGAAATATTCTAATCTTTTTTATGGCTATAGTTACAAGCATTTGAGACTATGTTTTCCATTTGGCAGGATGATAAGTTGGGAAGGGAAAAACATGCCAACTTTGGACAAAATATGTTTGTGCATTTTCAGTTGCGATCCAAAGTCACAGTTTGGACTATGTAGCTGGTTCTATGTCTTTGCCAAGTTGGGCAAGGAATCTTGCTGGAAAGATGCTTTTTAAAGATGTGGAGTGTTGGACTAGATGTCAAGACATTTGTATTTGGGCTTCTTTGGTGCCACTGTTTGAGGAAGCAAAGGCACCCTGGCTTTGCTATTTCTTTCCGTTTTAATGTAGGATGATCCCTGAGTGCTCTTACAGAATGTTGTATGGCTAAATCAGACTTTCATTTAGGAATATTTAGAATCCACTCTAGGTTGGGTGTCTAAAATAATTTTTGATTAATACTACTACTTCTACTATTATTATTGCGGGTGTGTTATTACAGTTTTGGCTGTGATTATCATACCACCATCTCTGTTTATTATCAAATGAGATGCTAGTCTCACTCACTGACTAGTATGTTTTCCAGACAGACTCAAACAGTCCCGAAACAGTCCCACAGAAGTTAAAAGTGAAAATAATTTATGTTACACTGCTGAGGAAACTGAATACCCAGTGGTCAAGAAATAATCATGGCAAAACTTCTAGGAAATTATTAACTAGAAATGTTGCTTTAGAATCACTGAGTATGGGGACTCCTTGCTGCTTTTCACCCCAGAATGGGCTTTAGATATCAATATTCTGATTTATATTCACCTTTAGACCTACCTAAAGTTGTAAGTCAGTGTTTTGATTTATACTATGTTAACCCTGCTTACACTTTTCTAAAGTTTTATACATAAATATGTGATTTTGATATTGCAATTATGTTCAGTAGATGCACTAATGCATGATAGTGCTTTCCTAAATCACAGATTTTGAGACAAATAGTTAATTTTAACACTAACATTTTCGGTGTCAGCTACTTTTAATACTTTTCTCCTATCAGACTCTTTTGATAGAAAAATATGAAAAATGTAAGAATGTCTAGTATACAGAAACAAGCTGAGCTAGTTAAAAGCATGTCAACTGAGCAGTCGCACACTGTAGATTGCAGGTGGCAAATGAGTATGAAGTACATGGGCAGAATGAGAAGCAGCCAATGCCACTCTTGGCTGGGAACTGCAGACCAGTGCAGTAATGTGATTATGGTAATGATTCAACAAGTCATCGTCCGGTGCCTTTGTCCACTGTAATTAACTTTTTGGAACTGCACAGCTTCTGTCTCTGGGCTCATCAGCTGGCCTAGCTTTTGTGTTTCCAGTCTGTTATTTCTGCCTGGGCTCAGGAGCCTCTAAGCACATTGCTAAATGAATTCATTGCTGGAACAAAGATTTGGTGGTCGAATAGAGATGGCTATCTTTTGTTGTCAGACATTCAATCCCATATAGCAATCCAATTACTTAAGCTGTTTCTATCAGTCTTATTAGGGCTAGCCATTGAGGCCAGCTAGAATGCTGATCGCTGTGTCTTGGAAGAATGTGGTGGAACAGATTAGCGCTTTAATGAGAGGCTTTCTAAAGGCCAGATCTTTTCCCTTGTATATATATATCGAGATCTAGGAATCATTTTTAGGCAAAGGCCCAGAGTCAGTGTTACAAAGACTGATCAAAGGATGGCTGGAAATCTGTACAATTGCTTGAAGAAATTTTATGGGTTATAAAATATTGGCATGGTTTCTGTCTGTTATGGGCTATCTGACGAAAATCTCTGGTAGGCTGGGAAAAGGAAATTGCTTATTGGCATTTATTCTGTGGGATGGATATCTTTGGAGTTTGCATTTGAACTCTTTCTTCACTGTGTTACAGGTCAAATTCTGTACTTAGTACTAACATTCCAGGAATGTGGGCTGCATAAAATCAACATAAGCCTTGCTCCATACTTTGCTACCCAGAAAAACATATTATGAGAGAGTGGCTCAGACAAGGGTGAATGGATGATTACTAAGAAAAGATAGCAGGGGTGGAGTGATATTGCAGTGGTTAATGTGTAGCAGTTGAAAACTGAAGTTAAATGAGAGTGCAGTTAAGTCAGAGAACTTAGAACACCCTTTCAATGACTATCAAGAAAAGATGGTGATTGGTTTTAATGTTCAGAGAAACAATATTCAGCTTCTACATGTCATGCTTATTGCTCTGGAAATATATATCAGATGCAAAAAGATTTGATTTTATTTTTATTTTTATATTTTTTGAGACAGTGTCTTGCTCTGTGACCCAGACTAGAGTGTAGTGGCATGATCATGGTACACTGCAGCCTCAGCTTCCTGGACTCTTGTGATCCTCCCACCTCAGCCTCCTGGGAAGCTGGGACTATAGGGGCATGCCACCATGCCCAGTTAATTTTCTTGCATTTATTGTAGAGACAGGGTTTTATCGTGTTTCCAGGCTGGTCTCATACTCTAGAGCTCAAGCCGCCTTCCCTGCTTGGACTCCCAAAGTGTGGGAATCGCAGGTTTGAGCCACTGTGCCCAGCCCAAAGAGGTTTCATTTTAAAGGAAGAATATCTACTCATACTTGGAAGACTTTAAGTAAATACAAAGCATTTTTCCATAAAATATTATATTATAGAAACTTTTAAACATACACAAAAGTATCCTTCAATTAATTATTGAATTATCCAGATTCAATAATTAATTAGTTAATCTTGCAGCAAAACTCCCTAACCTTCCCTAAATCAATCTCTGACTTCATGTATCTTATCCATTGCTATTATTACCTTCTAAAAAATGAGAATACTTTTAAAAAGCATAAACTGCAACAAATTGTCATACCTTAAAAATATTAACAATAATTTTCTAACATCCACCAATATTCATGTGTGAAATTTCTCATCAGAAAAAGATGTAGAGGCTGGGTGTGGTGTCTCACACTGGTAATTCCAGCACTTTGGGAGGCTAAGGTCAGCAGATCACTTGAGGTCATGCATTCAAGACCAGCCTGGCCAAAATCTGAAACCCCATCTCTACTAAAAATGCAAAAATTAGCTGGGGATAGTGGTGCACACCTGTAGTCTCAGCTACTTGGGAGGTTGAGGTGGGAGGATCACTTGAACCCAGGAGGCAGAGGTTGCAGTGAGCCAAGATTGTACCACTGCACTTCAGCCTGGACAACAGAATGAGACTCCATCTCAAAAAAGAAAAAAAAAAAAAAGAAAAGTAAAAGATATAAATGTATTTGGCCTATTTTTTGGGATGTGATATTTTCGATAATTTTAGATCATAAATACCCTGTTCCCAGGAGGTTGTTTCTTATCTCCTGCTATATAAACTTATTCCAGATTCTACAGGGACTTTAAAAACTAGGATAACGGTACATTATATTTGTATAAATATATAAAAAATTTAAAAATATTTAGTAAAAAGAAAAATCTTTCAGGTGCATAAATGCTTTGGTTTTTATGTTAGCCTCTGTAAGACAGTTGGATATGTTGGAAATAAACAAATAACGAGTACTTACACTTCACTTGTTTGACCTTAGCATACTGTCCTTTCTCCTTTACCCTTGATTTTCACTCTCTCTCCTTCAATGTAATGAACTCTATCAAAATATAAAATTTTATGGGCTTTGGAATCAGTCTGAGATTCAAATGCAGCAGAATTTGGTCACGGATTCAAAAATAGTGGCTTGAGATCTAGAAATAGCTATTTTGAATACACACTGCCCTTTTCTGAAAATGTACGCAGAAAAAGTGAGGAGAGGATTTGACTCCCCCATAAGCTAAGCTAGTCTCATACCTTCTGAATTGGTGTGGATTAAATACTGAAGTAAAACAGTAACTGAAATGAAACATAATAGAATGACCTCATTCAAGTCACGAGTATCGGGTGTGGGTATATATGTATTTCTGTGTGTGTCTATGTGTATGTATGTGTAAGACTGTCTGTGTGTGTCTGGGTGTGTGTGAGTCATCTGTATGTGCAGATGTGTGTGTGCACCTGTGTGTACATATGTGCACCTGTGTGTATGTGTGCGTGATATGTGTATGTATGTATGTATGAGTTTGTATGTATTATGTGTGTGTTAGTGTGCATCTATGTGTGTAGGGATGTGTGTGGGGGGGGTTGTGTGTATACAAAAAATTCAAATAGTCTCCCTTGGATTGCCCCAATACCTTACTCATTTCTTTTTAAGATGAAACCACAAGAACTAACAAATGCAGAATTCTGCTTTTCACTGAGAAATGCAAAGCCACTGGTGCCTGCTTTCTTTCTTTGTTTAAAAAAAAAAGAGTTAGAAAGGTCATCCAAGATAGGAATAAATGGAGGCAGAGGCAAATCAATGTTTAACTTGGAAATATTTTTCAGTTAATCATCTCTGACCGCTCACACTAAGAGGGCACTCCTAGAGTGTTGGCAAACGTGAACTGGAAGTCACTAAGCTTCTATAAAAACAGCCAGACGTCAGGATCTGTATAATCAGAAAGCCTGAGCCACCGTAGGTTTAACCTAAAATGGCAAGAAAACCTTCTACTGCAAATATGTATCTAGGAATATTTTGACTTCTAGACTTTTGCTTCCAAGTATGAGGATTATGAAACCATAGGACTTTCCTTGCTTTAGGATTATCATAAAAACCTAGGACTCATACCTGGTAGGAAATTTGTTGAAAGGTGTGGGAAATTACCTTGGAGTCTGTGATGTGGCTTTCTCTCCCTGTTTTTCATTTCTGGTATCAAACCTTTATAAAATGCTACAGAATGTGACTTCTTAGCTTGTGGCTCTTTTGTTGGCCTTTTTGGTCATTTTATTGTAAAGAGCAAACTTTAAGAAAGGTATGGAAAACATATGGGGCCAATGGGGTCAGTATTTGCCCTAATGGGAAAATAAACTTTGTTAGTCTCATTTCCATTTTTTCTGTGTTTGTAGATAGCCAGTGATGAGGACACACTATGATTTTGACAAGCTTTGTTCATTCTTCTGTATGGGTGAAATAATTACCTGTCAAACAAAAGAAGTAACTCTTCTTGCCTTTGAATATAACATACCCATTACATTCATGTAAATCCGAATTTGTAAAGAGATTCGTACTCAAAGTGTCACCCTTGACGTAAGGCCATTGTGCTTGTGAACTGCTGAGCATATGGCGTGCTTGCTATTCTGCAACCCACTGCTCCAAGAGTTCCCTCTGCCATGGACATTGCTTTACAAACAGAGAGTAATGCAACTGGTGCCAAAACAATAAATATTCTAGGAGCCCAAAGACATCTTTCTCTTATGAGACCTGGTCTTTCTAACATTTGTATTCTACATACATGAAACAGCTTGTAATAATTCAGCAGCAGTGAGATTCAGCAAAGCCGTATTTGAATTATTGGAAAAGTCTGAATTTTGGTTTTGCATTTAGGGAGCTTTAAAAATCTGATTTGTGAATGCTTTTGAAGAATTCACATGGACTGGAAGGATTTTAAAGGAAATATTTAAAAACTACCAGATTGCATGTCTCCTTTATCATTCAAAAGAATAAAGTATGTATCTTTTGTGTTCCTTTTTTAAAAAATTAAAAAAAAATTTTTAAGACAGAGTCTTCCTCTGTTACCCAGTCTGGAGTGCAATGGTGTGATCTCAGCTCCATGTAACCTCTGCTTCCTGGGTTTGAGCAATTCTCCTGCCTCAGCCTCTCGAGTAGCTGGGATTGCACATTTCCAACACCACCCCCAGCTAATTTTTTTATTTTTATTTTTAGCAGAGATGGGATTTCATTGTGTTCTTTTAAGGGTGAATGGATAGCAAGACCTTGACGGAATACACACAAAAAATTCTACATTAAGTTTGGGCTCGGGTCTTTAATCTTGCTATGCTTTTAAAGATCATTGCTTTTTGTTATTAACTATTACTTTATTTGGGGACTGGATATCACTTCTCTTTGGCCATCACCTTGGTCCACCAATGTTGGGAGAACTATAGGGCCATGATAAAAACCAGTGAAATCAAATGGCAAGAGTCTGGCCATGGGTTTATCTGCCAGAATAACAGATGTATTTTCTTCCTATGAAGGAATTGTTGTCTCATGAACAGAGGGCAGATAGTAGGTTCTCTGTGTCAGTTAGCACTGTTACATAACAAGCTACCCCAAACTCTGTGGCCTAAAACAGTATGATTTATTGCCCTTGGTTTGGCTGGATACTTCTGACGTTGGCCAGCTCACTCTGAGTCTCTGGCCAACTCTGGGCCAGATAGGGAGCTCTGTTTTTCTAGGCTGGGCTCTCTCACATGTTCAATGGCTGGCTGACTGTAGGCTGGTTTAAGGTCACTTTGATTGGGACAATTAGGATCTCTTCCATGGGGTCTCATCCACTGGCAGGCTCCTTTGGGCTTGTTCACGAAGTGGTGACAAGGATCTGAGAGAGAGAAGCATGTAAGACTTCTCAGGGCCCATACTTTGAGCTAGCATGCTGATACTTCACTGGCAAAGTTACAAGCAAATCACAAGACCAGCCCAGACTCAAAAGGGAGGGAAGTAGAATCTTCCTCTTGATGGGAAGATCCGCAGAATTACACTGCAAAGAGTGTGCACACAAAGCGACCATTACTTTGCACTATCAATGCAATCAATTTACTTCATCTTAGTAAGTAATCGCCAATAAATCTAGGGATTGCTGATCCAGGTGAAAGGTCTGTGATCCATGGCCAATTGCTCATACCATATTTCTCAAAATGTGGTGCACAGGTTTCTTCTGAATCAGATTCACCTGTAGAATTTGAGATGCCCTAGACCTGCTGAATTATTATAGAATCTAATTCTGGATCTCAGAAATCTGCTTGTTAATTAAACTCCTTTTCCACCTCCCACCCCATAACTCTAATATTCAGGCTTGAGAATTTTTGTATTAGACCCACCTACTCAACACAATCATCAAAACATATAGATTCACATAAGATAACTTATTTTTCATATCTGGAAAACTAACTCTGAAATTAATTATAAAAAATGTAGTTGGACTATTTCAGTGAATTGACTTAAACAAATTCTTACTTTCTCCCAAGATATGATGAATATGTATGTCATAGTGGCACCGATTAGCTGATAAACTCATATTGGAAAAAGAAGTTTGATTGATTGCTTTTGCTTTAGTAAATTTTTACTTGACAAGAAAAGAACACAGATAAATAGAGGTAATAGGTTTTGTCCAGTGCATCCTAGCAAGGAAGCAGGGGAGGTAAAACGATGTCTTTACATCTTTAAAATCCTTATCTTGGACTCAAAAGCCTTCCATAGGAGTCATCCAGATGCCCTGCAGGTAGAGACCAGCTCTGTGTGTGTGTGTGTGTATGTGTGTGTCTGTGTGTGTGTGTGTGTGTGTGTGTATGTGTGTGTGTGTATAGCTCTGTCTTTTCATTACTTTTGATTAGAAGCTTCTTTGGAGTCATTGACTAAAAATTTTAGACATACTGGAAGATTCTTTTAGGGTCAAAAATATTTTAATGAGAGCTAGAAAAAAAGTCTCAAAGAAACAAATGAGATTTTAAACAGGCTAGTACTAAACTAGTTTCTTAGATTCTAGTCTTTACTGATACCAACTGAGCCTGCACAGAGGACCAGATTCATCTTTTGAAAGCAGTATTGGGTGACTATCATTTCTTGCTTGAAAACTGTTAGTGATGCCAGTTGTCTCACTGGGTTTGCAAATTCAAAAGCATCGCGGCTAGGGAAAGAACAGTAAGCGAGTGAAACTGAATGGTTTTGTGAGGTTTCTGGTAGACTGAAAAATGCATTGAGAAGCTCTTAAGTTCAGATTTGTAAAAGAAAAAATAGACATGCTTAACGGAATACATTTGTGGCTAAATTCAGCCCTTAGACTACTTGTGTGTTACCTGTGGGTTGGCTCAAGTCTAGATTTATAAATCTGGTGTTTATGATTCTGTATGACCTAACATAGTGCTGTGAACAGAATAGGACTCCTCAATCTCATTTTTAATGCAGAGAGGTGGAGGAGGAGGATCATTAGGCTCTGCGAGTCTTGGGACGGAATTCTGATTCCACCACTCGCTGCAGTAATGCTACAGCCTCAGATGACTCATTTTATCTGTCTCTGAGGCTTGTTTGTTTTTCATATGTACAATGTGGGCAGTAATGTCTGCCCTGCCTTGTTCATGTATTTCTTAGAAAAATAAAATGATGCCGTTCAGAGCTGCAGCACCAATACTGCAGCCACTGGCCACATGGGTCTAGTGTGACTGTGGAACTGTAATATTTAATTGTGTTTAATTTTCATTAACTTAAATCTAAAACCTGCTTGATTCAGGTCTTTGAAAACTTTTAAGAATGTCTGAGACAACTTGAATTTGCCAATCTTCTTTTTAAACTATAAATTTTAAACTAAATATATAGACCATATATTTCCAGTGAAAATTTGCCGTCTGAATTGAGATGTCTGTAAATGTAAAATACACACTGGAGTTTGAAGATTTAATATAACAAAATGTAAAACATTTCAACAACTTTTTATGTTTACTATATGATAACTTTTTGTATTGATTATTTTAAATATACTACATTAAGTATATTATGAAATTAATTTCACCTGTTTATTTTTACATTTAAAAAATATGGCCAATTGATTTGGACTCTCACTTCTGGAGACAGGACTAGAAATATAAAAATTTCATAAGTGACATGTTTCTACTGAACATTATGATCTATATGAAAGCTTTCAATAAACTATGATGTTATTATCAATAATAAATTCCACAAGTAGGTTGTAATATCTGTGAGAGTAGGGATCATCTACTATTATTTGTACTTTATTTCCCATCACATATCTAGGGCCTGGGACAAAGTAGGGGCTTGGTAAATATTCTTTGAACAAATAATTATTTAAATAAATGATTATTTATATATAATTGTTAATTATAATAATTAATACTTGTTTAATTGAACAAATAATTATTCTTTGAACAATGTTCAAAAAATAATAAATATAAAATGATATTTAACTTGCTTCCAGCTCTGAAATACAATAAAATCTGACATGACAGGACACCATACAACAGGATGCAATATTCATTCACTCTATTTGTACATGTGTAGTCTTTTTTACTTGACTGCGCTGCTGGGATTTTGCTACAGTCTCTTTATACAATACATGCCAATGTAAGAAAGAGAAGCAAATCTTTCTTAGATGACAAAATCTAACTCATGCTGCCAAATTCTGAATAGTGATAAGGGAAGCAAGACTGACCATATCAGCAACTGTATGTTTGACCTTATCACTTTGTTTTCAATCAAATTCCAGTTTTATTAGAATAATCCTCACTGCAGTAGGCATGCTTGCCTATAGATTGGAGAGGTTTTTTTGATGCATGTGGGGATTCCACACCTTGAAGTGAGAATTTGCCTCTTGGGAAGTAACGTACTTTCCTGGAGAATGAATTGTCACCTCACATTTTCCATCTGTCCTCAAAGAAGTATGTTTATTTTTAGCGAACATGATAAACCCCAGAGGGCATAAGTGATAGATTCCCCTAACCAGTAGGTTTTACTTTGTTTCATTTCATGTGAAGTAGTATTCTCTTGATAATTTAACTATCAGGTTTCTGAGATGCCTGTGAGCTAGCTCCTCTTACAAGGAAAAGTGTATTTGTGTAAATTATCTATATAATATATGTGTGTTTGTTTCCATGGGAAAATGTTCCAATGAAGTTTTTTTTTTCTCCATTTATAAAATGTTACATTTGGAAAGACTTCTATTTCATGGAATTAAAGGTGAGGAACTTTACTGTAGAGTGCAATTTCTTTGGAAATGAATAGCAACTTATTTTCCTTTGCTTCTTGCTGATGGAAATTGTGAGGATTCCAATCTTTTCCCGAGAGATTATCTTCTGTTGGCTGCCATCCTAACTTTTGGGATGTTTACTCTACAAGCAATTTAAACAAAAGGGAGGAAATGCCCTGGACTAGAGGCTGCATGTAAGCATAATGAAAAATGCTCGATATTGAATTAAAGGAGTAGAAGATGGTGTGGTGACTTCTGATTTGGACTCTCACCTCTAGAGACAGGACTCTTTTGAAGGAACTAAGATAAAAGGAAAGCCTGTTGTGGCAAAGCTGGCCCATGTACTGTATATATTTTCCCCTTCTTCCCTGTGTATGATGGTCACCCTGTGAATGAAAACGCCTTGGCCGGGCGCGGTGGTTCAAGCCTGTAATCCCAGCACTTTGGGAGGCCGAGGCGGGTGGATCACGAGGTAAGATATCGAGACCATCCTGGTCAACATGGTGAAACCCTGTCTCTACTAAAGATACAAAAAATTACCTGGGCATGGTGGCGCGTGCCTGTCATCCCAGCTACTCAGGAGGCTGAGGCAGGAGAATTGCCTGAACCCAGGAGGCGGAGGTTGCGGTGAGCCGAGATCGCGCCATTGCACTCCAGCCTGGGTAACAAGAGCGAAACTCCATCTCAAAAAAAAAAAAAAAGAAAACGCCTTATGACTGCTAAAGCAATCTAAAGTTTTCTTCTGCCATGGAGTGGTGTCAGTGGATTAAATTTCTGCAGTGTAACTTAGAAAATACATGAATGTCAGAGTGAAAATCGATTTAGGCAGGGTTCATCATTGGATACTAAATCTAGAAGTACAGATTAAACAAAGAACAGAATACTTAGGCCAGGCGCGGTGGCTAATGCCTGTAATCCCAGCACTTTGGGAGGCCAAGGTGGGTGGATCACCTTGAGGTCACAAGTTTGAGACCAGCTTGGCTAAAATGGTGAAACCCTATCTTTACTAAAAATACAAAAATTAGCTGGATGTGGCAGCAGGCACCTGTAATCCTAGCTATTCAGGATGCTAAAGCAGGAGACTCACTTGAACCTGGGAGACTGAGGTTGCAGTGAGCCAAAATCGTGCCACTGTACTCCAGCCTGGGAGAGGCAGAGTGAGACTCGGTCTCAAAAGAAAGCAGAATACTTACATAATTTCATGGTATCTAAAGGTAAAGAAAGAAAGCAGGTCACTATGCAATGAACAAATGGGTCAAGATCTTCATCAAATCGTAGAAACTAACATCACAACAAGGGTCAAATTAGATATGAGAATACTGAGATGAGACTCTAGGAAGAGCATATTATTATGTAGTATTCCAGTCCCCAAATGTGATATATGAACCTAATCATAAGGGAATGTTAGAGATATCCAAGTTGAGTGACATTCTATAAAATAACTGAAAAGCTGAGGAATTGCTCCCAGGTTAAAGGAGACTACAGAGACCTGACAATTGAATAAAATATGTGATCATGAACTGAATCCTTTACCAGAGAAATAATTGTTATAAAGGTAATTGTTAGGGGCACATGATGAAATTTGTATATGGTCTGTAGAAGGAAAATATTACAGCAATGTTAAATTTCTTGAATTTGGTAACAGAACTGTAATATGTAAGAGGCTATCCTTGTTCCTGTGTTATGCACACTGAAGTATTTCAGAGCAAGGACATGATACCTGTGTCTTAGAGTCATACGGTCTAGAAACAACTGTCTGTGACTGAGTGTATGCCTGGGGACACACACACACACACACACACACACACACACACAGAGGGGTTTGTGAAAGAAAAGGTGGCAGAATATTAAAATTGGTGAATCTGGGTAAATCATATTTGGGGTTACTTTGTAGTATTCTTGCAACATTTCTGTAGATTTAAAATAATTCCAAAATAAAAGTTAAAAAATATAAAGCTAATACTTCCCCACCCCCCATCTCCTCACATATGCATGTATTTAGTGCTGAAAGGTTTTATGAGGGGAAAATTTAGAATACAAAAAATGTGAATATTGGGAGAAAAATTTGAGGATTAGCTGCAAAAGCACCTCTCACAAATATTGTTGGAAACAGTCCTTTTACAATGACAGACTCCAGAGATTTTAGTGTCCATCAGGGTAATCCCATTAAAGAAATTTCAGATGGCTGCAAAGCTGTGAGAGTCCAGGTATAGGGTGATGAAGCCCTGGTTAGGAGGTTGATTTATTGGCTGGCTTAACCTGTGTGTTACTTGGAACTTAAGGGGCAGGAGTCTGGGTCAAACCTGGATGCCATGCATCCTCAGAGAAGGAAGCAGTGATGAGATTAAGCCAGGAAGGAATGTATTCACCATCCTTTAAGTGTTGCATTCCAGGGGTTGACAGTTGGCCATATATCTTCTCTTAGTAGCCTGGAGTATCTACAGTGGCTGAGCTCCACCATCTCTTATGAAGCATGTGAAGGCAGTGTTAGTGCTTCATGCAAATTCTCCCAAGCAAATAGTATTGATTGGTGAATCATGAGATTTCAAGTGTGCAAGCTTGCTCTTCTTTCACACTTGAGACTGAGACAATGCACTATATCTGCTGTGCACAGTGCTTTCTAGGAGGGGTAGGGCTCACTAATCAGCCCATTAGAGTGGAGAGAATGAAGCCGTTGTTTTACCAGTCTAGAGAAAAATCTCAGTGGGATCTCCTTTAACGAACACCTGTAATCTGGTGGCACACCAACACACAGTTAACTCTTTATACGGATATTTGCAACACACTAGGAAGCACCCTGTGGAGTTACATAGGAAGGAAAATTCAGCCCTTTATTACTTAATCACATCACTGAATGTTAGAGGTTTTCATTATCTCATAAAATGCTTTCCAGGGGTAAAGAAACGTGGTTTGGAAGAAATTTTATTGACTTGCCTTGTTTCCAATTTTGTGAGCTTTCAAAAATACTTGTTCCATATATATATATATATATTATATATATATGCATGACTTTTCACAGGACTGGTTTATTTTCAAGGCCGTTTTGCTTTGTTCCAATTGATATGATTTAAGAACTATTTTCTGTAAGTGTAAATGGCATAGAGGGCTATACATAATCAAAGTGTATTTGATTACAAGAGTAATTGTTTCACAGTGTTGTAGATCAAAAACATAACATCGGATGGAGCCAGTTTCAGATCTAGCATGCTGTCAAAATTATTGGCTTTAAAAGAATGAGGTCCTAAGACTAGGGCTTCTAGTTTTCAAAGTGCTGTGCAGAGTTTCAATCTCATGATCTCTTAGCAACTCTGAAAGGGGACACCTTTGTTGTCTTTGCTGAGAAACATTTAAAATTTTTCCATTTTAATTTCAGTAGATAGCATTGTTATTTTATACAATATGAATTGTTTTATGAGGGGTTAGCTGTACAAGCTGGGGACTACAAAACTCTCTACTTACTTACTTAGTACCTAGAAGTAAAGGAACAGAAGGAAAGGATTTTTTTTTTAAGCAGAGATCAGTGACATACCTCACCACAACTTGAGTCGTTCTAGTGGGAAATTCAGTTCCTACGTACATGACTTACTTGACAGAGCAATATGGGCGCAAAGTTTCTGATTCAACTACCTTAAAAAAATTTCATGGCTAGAACACAAAATTTCTGAGTGTCAGTGTGGGGGCTTTTAAGGCATAATTGTGGTGGAGTCAAAAGCTGTTTAGAAGATCAGCAATTAAGACAGATTATGGAGATCTCTTCCTGAATTGAGATGCTGTGGTCTCTTTGGGGAGTACCTGCCTGGGGAGGAAGCAGGAGGTTTCACTTCAGTGCAGAGTGAACTGGGGCAACCATCCTGTGTTCTTGAGATGGGACTGCCCTCCAACAGGTTTTCTAACCTAGACTGCAAATTCCTTGTGAAAAAGGGAAAAATATTCCTTGGGCTACTGGCCTTCTTTAGCTAGTGGTATGTTTTGAGATGCATATGCGTTTTAGATAGCAAGCTTTCTAAATTTCTTTTATTTGTAAGAGTCTGTAATTCATGTGTGTCCTTTTAGTTTGGCAGGAGCAAGTCTCAACTGAGAAATAAGTGAACAGAGGCTTTCTCTTTGTAGACCTCCACATAAGATCAGTTTTTTCTCAGCCCACTGTTCAGAGCAAGAACAGAAATGGAAATAGTTCTCTTTTTTGCTGGCATCCAGGCAACTTTCCCTTGGGACCAAAAGTATCAAGGCTGATCCTGCATTTCCTCAATGTGGCAGATTGACTTTGGTTAAAGAGTCCAGTGAAATTTCCCTGTGTGAACGCTAGCTCCATTAGCTTTCTTCCCGACATGCTATTTACATGCTTGCCCTGCATGTGTCTCTTGTTTTTCACCTATTTTTTTTAATTGCACCAAGCTCTGGCTCTATTTTAAACTATATCCAGCCATTTACTATATTAAGGAAAAAAGCAGGTATTTATCTCATTCCATGGGGTGCTGATTGGTTGTAAAATGTCCTTGTAAAATCTGTTCTTGCTGTTAACCTCATTTGTATGAAGGAAAAGTATTTGGAATTTGCAAAAATTGCTGAACAAGAGGCAGAGCAGTCACTTCTGTAGCCTTGTGTTTGTTTTATTAGAAAATCCGTACTCTCTAAGGACCTTGGTACGTCTCCTGGTGTATTCCTCTAGCTCTGGGTGAATCGGCCACTTGACATGGCCATGCGTATTAGTGGACTTTTCCTGTCTCATGCCTCTCCTGGGAGGGAGATTACAAGACTTCTCTTTGTAACCTAATATGATACGTATCAACTTATACATCAAGAATTCATCCTAAAAGCTAAGCTGACATCTTTCTGGACTGACTTAAAGCCAATTGTTGGTTGTTTTCTCCTTGGAGATAGAGAGCTTTGATCTAATAACACTTCATATATTACCCAACCACCCTGTGGGGCCAATTTCAGTTCCTTTAACCATTTATCCCCCTTGTTCCTTCCTAAATGTATAATCCGTTTATACATTTTCTCTTCTCTAAGTAACATATTCTTAATATATCTATGACTCATTGTTTTTACACACAAAATGTTGTGCTGTTTCTGTTTGTGCTTCCACGGTGACCTTCTTTATCCATGTGCCAACTGTGCCATGTTTAGCCAGGCCAAGAGCATACATGGTTTCCTTTGGTGGCATAGCCCTGGTGATAGAGATAGCCATGAGAAACAGACAGAAAGAGAATAGAAAAAGGATCAAGCATGTTCAGCTGTGTTTCTGTCTAGAACATAGATCAGACTAAAAAGTATTCAATAAATCAGCATCAACAAAATTTCATTTCTATGTCATTTTCCTTGCTGTCTATCCTGCCTTTATTAACAATTAGAAAGCTTTCTTGGTAGGGTATTTTGAGACTTAAGTCATTCTTTTTTTAATATCTTCAGAATAATGAAATACATTGTAAGTAGAGATATTTTTTTTTACAATACTTCAACCACTATCTTAGGGTAGAAAATTGGCAGTTTGGTTGATCTTCCAATAATGGGCATTGCCCAGAAGCTATTATGTTCCCCAAAGTAACACTGATAAGAGGAGACCCCTCCCAGAATGCCATGGGCCCTTTCAGTTGGAAGTAGCATGGGTGTAACTTCTTTGCTTCCTGAAGCTATATCAGTTACAAATATGTGGAAGCAGAGAAGATTAAGCTGTTATGGAGAATTTTCTTCTGAATAATTCGTATTATTTTTCCTGGGTAGAACTTTTCATTCCCAGCTCCCTCCCTTCAGATATGAACAAAATTTTGAAGGCTGAGTTTTTAGTATTCCAATGAACAGGATGTAATAAAAACTTCATAAAAAACTAACCCTTTGCCATATACTTCGAATATTGTTTCACTAATAGTGATTTTCTAGTTTTTAACTCTTGAGAGCAAGTAACTTATAATCTTGGCTTAATTATTCATGGCCCTGAAATAAAACAAGAGCATCCTTCCAAGTCATATTTTAGTAACAATTGTCCTAGTCTCAAAATTCCATATTTTAAATCATTGAGATTTTAGGTTTTGTCACTTTCATAAGTGTTTTTTGTTTTTTCATTCTGGAAGCTTTCCCATCTATTCATTTTCGCATGATTTTGTTTTCCATTGCCTTTGTTAATGCAGTTCCATCTTACTCAGTAAGAAATGAGCATGCAAGAACCCAAGTCCAAGGAGTTGATGTTATTTAAGACTTTCTGGGGCAGAAGCTGTTTGAAATGCCTGTCTGCCTTGCCAAGTAACTCATCTAGAGTCGGGGGTAGTTCTCTGTAGTTTCCCTAGACAAGATATCAGACTCTTTACTTTCTCATTTACATCAAATAAAAGCTCGAATCTTGCATAATACATGGAATTTATTTAGATGTCTGTTATTTCATGTTCATGTCCTCCCTCCCAATGGCTATAACAATCCTTGGCTTTTCTTGGCAAAACATGCACAATCCCAACCCTCTCTTCCTTCTTTCCTTCCTTTCCCATTTGTAAGTGCACTCTTAGAAAGATGAATTGGTTTTTAGACTACCATTGCTACAGTCTGAATATCTTAGTGGGAAGGGTTGGGAGGACTGATTTAATAACTCGAGTATTTATTGTCTACTAGATGCTAGAGATTGAGGTTACCTGAGGTTGGCTTGTGCATCTCTCATCTCTAGAATGGCAGCAGTAGGGAGAAACTGAAGCAGTGCTGTTCTGAGTTTGTTGGTGTACAAGAATTATTAAGATGACTTCACAATGGCAATTTGGAATGGAGTACTTGAGACCCAGCTAGTGGTATCTCTTAGACTGTAGGAAAGAGAGCAAAGAAAGATTAAGACTGACTGCCATCCAAGCATGGGGGACTCTTCAAGTTTGTCTTTGAGGAAGAAAACAGAAGCAAGTGTGAACCAGGGCAGTTGTTTCGCCTGGTTGAACAGGCTTCCTGGTATAGACAAATCACTCAAGAAGGTATCTGTCTACTGCTGAGGTAGTGGGACAGAAAGGGCATAGGGGTCTCTTTTACTTATTTTGCCTCAAATGCTAAAGCTCTGTAAGGAACAATAAAAGCTAGCATTCATAGAGTAGTTACTATGTGGTAGGATTTATTTTCAGCCCCTTACATGTACTATCTAATTTAAACCTCATAGCAACTTGGAAAGGCAGGCACTATTATTTTTCCGATGAGGAAACTAAAATACAGAGTATATGAGTACCTTGCCTTAATTCACATAGGTAGCAAAAGATGGAGCCTGGCAGTCATATTCTGTGGGCAGAGACCTCTTAATCAGAAAATAGGACCTCTTGGAGCAGGTTTCTTGTGCTAGAACCTGTGGGGAAAAAAGCACAGAATTTCTCTTTCTTAAAAGTTAGTTTCTGATAGAATTTGGATGATTTTGTTTGTTTGTCTATAGACATGCAATCATTTGATACAGGGGGAGGGTGCATGGTCATATTTGATGAGCACACATGTTTCTTCAAATTTTCCCAAATTTGCTCAGAGTTTGTAAACTTTAGTCCATGAAGCTCTTGTAGGTAGTTTTGTTCTTTCAGAAAAACTCATTCTCCAGAGTTGGCAAAGCAGAGCCCTGGAGGTCCCCCGGGAGAGTGGGAAAATTTTTCCTCTTAAGTCGATTGAGTGAAAGCCCCAGCAAAGTGGCATTTTATAGAAGAGGCTCAATGGAAGCCAGTAAAGCTGAGTATAATTCCTTAAACATATCTTTAGGCAAACAGGGAGGATGCAATAAGATTTTAAAAGAACACGGTTCAATCAGTGGAACAATTGAAGATATCCATCTGATTTAAACGGAGTTCAGCAACTGCAACAATGCTATCCGATGAAAGAGATTTTATGTCACATGTTCAAAGCTGGCTTTAAGTCCTTAAGAGGTATCAAAATAATCAAAGTGTTTTCTTTGCTCTTAGCCATCAGTGAGAAAGAATCATAAATGGTTCAAATGTTTATGTTGATCAGAAACTGCAGTTGGGGGAAGGAAAAAGAAAGGCTACTTCTGAGCAGAAAACAGGGAGTGGTGACCCTGTTATTACAGCTTCTGTCTTAGAATACACTCTCTGCCTCAGATCCTAGCTCCAGGATACCCCAGGCTTCTTGAAGAAGGCCTTTTAATGTGAGGGGAATCAGAATTGCAAAAAGGACCCTCAAACTTCATGGATTAACCTAATCACATGAGGTGATTTTTTAAAAGATACAGATTCCATGCCTCCCTTGGAAGTTCTGATCTAGTAGGTTTGGATTGGAACCCAGGAATATGAATAACCAGTTTCCCCACATGAGTGTCCTATGATCAACCAGAACTGGTAGCCACATTCTGGTGTACCCATTTTACAGATGAGTAGATCGAATCATGGGGGCAGGTCGTTCCCACGCTGTTCTTATGATAGTGAATAAGTCTCATGAGATCTACTGGTTTTATAAAGGGGAGTTTCCCTGCACACGCTCTCTTGCCTGCTGCCATGTAAGATGCTCTTGCTTCCCCTTTGCCTTCTGCCATGATTGTAAGGCCTCCACAGCCATGTGGAACTGTGAATCAGTTAAACCTCTTTCCTTTATAAATGAGGCAGTCTCAGGAAAGTCTTTATTGGCAGAATGAGAAGGACTAATACAAGGGGAAACGATGTCCCAGGAAAGAGCTATTCCAAGATGGCTGTGTCAACAATTAGAAAAGGTCGGAGGCACCACAGCCCAAAGTCCCTATTCAAAGAAATAAAGACATTTGGAGAAAGTACAAGTTAAGGAAGAGAGGAGAAGATGAATTTATGTTTGTCTTAGTTGAGTTGGGGATTGAGATGCCCAAGTCAGGTGGGCAGGTAGTTGGAACTATGGGGTTATGAAGTGAGCAGCAGAATGGGGGTGGAGTGGATTTTTGAAGTTGGTAATAAATGAGATCTCTGGGTAGAAGAATAAGATACAGGAAGAGCAGAATTCCAGGACCAAATATTGTGCACCTGTTCTATTTGGGGTCAGGAAGAAAAACCAAGGCAGCAAATGGGCAAACAGTAAGTGGAATCTGAAATGTAATGAGCTTCTGCATTTTATTTAAAAATACCCTCTTGTATATGATTAACTGTCTCATGTGTGTATTTCTCATGTGTGTGCTTATCCAGTGAATTTTTCTTCCCAACTTCTGGCAAGACATTTCTACTATGCTGCTTGCCAACTGGAAATATTGCCAGGACCCTAAACTTAGTATTTCCCAAACTGAACTTTATTTCTTTGAATAGGGACTTTGAGCTGTTGTGCCTCAGACCTTTTCTAATCAGTTTCCAAATTTGTCCTGTGTTCTGTGTCCTCTGTTAGTAGTGATGGTTTTTCATCTTCCAGCTCAAACCCTTCAGGTGTATTCCATTTACTTCCAAGGCCCAGAAGGTTGACCTCTGTGCTGCTTGTAACTGCCTGGCCTCCTCTCCCACACCACTGTGTTTGAGTTCAGGCCCTCAGTGCCTCTACCTGGGGACACTGCAGTAACCTCTTAATTCATCTTCTCAAGTTTGCACTCTCCTCCCTCTAATCCATCTTAAACACTGCTGCTACCAGACTCATCTTTTGGCATCTAATCTCCTTACTCACCAGATCCTCTTTAAAATCTTGCATGGCTTCTATTTGCTGATGGCAGTCATTACATATATGGTCCCCCAAATGAAATATTGTCCAGAAACTTTAGTATGTCAACTAGATAAAAGCAGACTGTCCCAGTCACAACAGAGTAGTATCCTGGATCATTGCCCATTCTGTCTTCACAATACCCAGAGCTCAGCAAAATAGATTTTGAAGACATGCCAGCTTCCTGAGCCTTATATTAATGGATACCTAAAATTAACCCCCAATGTACTTTTCCCATCTTATGGCCCATTATTGCCAACTGTGTCTCATCTAGGTGAATCATTGCAGAACTGTTACTTCTATTTTCTGCCTTGGCTTCTCCACTTCTTATCCTTTGCTCATTTGAATAGAATTATCTTCTGTTTAGGAAACCCTCCCTTCATCTACATGAGTTCTAATCCTGTCTTTCAAGACCCACCTCAAAATCTTTCTCAGTGGAGAGCTCCCGCCTCAGTTTGTTCCCCTTACTTTTAAGTACTCTCTCTTTCTGCTCAGCTCCTTATTGCTTATTATCTGGGTCTCAGGCATGTATCACTTTCTGCTTGGTACAATAATTATTTAGTGTCAGTGTATTCTCCACTTGTAGACTTGAGATCAAGATAATTGATCAACTTGCCCTTGTATTCTTTCTCAAGGATTGGGACACATCTTGAGCTTGTTGCTCACAATTATTTGCAGAGAGAACACCAGCTTTTTGAGCATCTTAAAGGCAGGAATGAAGGCTCCATTACCATTGTGCATTTCCTGTCACAGAGAGGTCAGGGCCAGGCTGACAGCAGACCTCATAATGAGCATAAAAAGCTGGCAGGCATTTCGTTTTGCTTTGCAGCTGTAATGTGGATTTTCACCTGTTCAGCTGCCTTTTGAAAGTCATTGATGTAGACCTTCAGAGAGCCACAAAAGAACAGTTTGTCCATCTAGTATGGAGGTGAGGAGAGCAATTACCCTGATTCTGTTCATGACGTTCATAGGCTGAAAGAGGTAAAATGCATTTCAGATAATTAGAGGAGAATCTTAAAATGGATGATAATAATCTTTGTTACGTATCTTCTATGGTCATTTTTCCAGTAAACATTTTATGGGATGTTTCCTTTGAGGTCATTTGTTGCATGCCACTCTCTTTAGGGCAGACCTTCTGAAGGAGCCTAAAAGGAATCTAGACTAATGGTTTAGAACTTTTATAGTTATGTATCTCTAGTGAGGTGCATAAAGGGTTTGAGTTGAAAGAACTTGGCGGACTGTGGCAATAAGCTTCTGGTAAGGGCAGGAGGAAGTCCGAAGGAATCAGTTAAAGTACTAGACGCACTTTATGCTCCTCAACTGCTTGGTGTGCGTCAGTCCTAACTTCCCAGTTTGGGTCACAAGTTTATCTTCTCAAAGGGCTGTGAAAGCAGCCACAATGGCAGGGGATGATGGATAAAGTCCTGAGGAAGGGTGTGCATGGAAGTTCTGTTTGGGTTTTAAATTCCCCAGGAAGGTTCAAGAATTTTTCGTAGTCTAAATTCAGTAAATGAGAACAAAAAGCAGGGGGCAGGGGAGGGAGGCTCACATAAATCATTTAACTTAATTGTGTACATTTCAATATCATATAGGAAAAGTTTGCTCATTAGTATGGAATCACAAGGGGAAAGATATTTTGATTACTCCATTGCAAAATTTAAAAATACATACATATTTTTAATTTAAGTGTTTAATTAAATTCAAGTTCCTCCATATATGTCTTGCTCTTAATGCACAAAGGCTTAGAAGTATGCCTGTTAGAACATGTTTCTCATCCCTCTTGCAGCTGAAGTAGCTGAGTTTTCCATTGATAAGAAAAATCAGAGTTTTTTTTTAAAAATGATAACTCATTATCTTTTGGAAATGGAAACTATATGCACAGTTCCTAAGCCAATGATATATAATTGGACGTTTTGGTGTAATTTCTTTAGTTCTAATATTCACAGTAGCCATATGTTAAATATGGGCTCATTCATAGAGATTATGATGTAAGAATGCTAAAAGAAAAACTAGGAAACAAAATATCTGAGCCTTGGCTTGAGGCGGAATTTGAAGCTCCCTGGACATTTCACACAGAATGAAATTGCAATGTTTACCTCAAACACTCTGCAATATAAAGCAGGGCCTAAGAACTTTGCTTTAGAGTTGTATTGCTTGATTGA